AAGATGAAGAATGCAAGGCCCTGGTTAAAGACAGTCTTTAGGCTGCTTCTGGATCAGCAGTTTGTTTTTGGTTCTTGCACAGCCTCATCTCCACTTGCTTAGAAGCTGTGAAGATGGGAAGAACACTTGGTGTTTTTCATCCACTCTCAACCTCATCTCCATTTCCTCCAAAGCTGTGAATATTGGAAGTACACTTGGTTCTTCCAATGATGTGAAGAGCCAAGTGTCTTGGGTCTTCCATCAACTCAGAGATATCAAGAGAATAAGGTATTTGCTTGATGGGACAGTACTTAATGTAGGTATTTATGAAGTGAAGAAGAACGCTGAAACCAGCCAAAGCCCTATCAGACATGGTAAGGCCATGCTTCTGTTAGGAAGTAATTCAGAGTGCTTCCGTGGTGTACTTTGGACAGATGAACTCTGGTCCTCTGGACTAAGCACCCCCAAGGGACAATTCTCTGAAAAATCTCTCGGAATGATCTGTCCTTATCTCTTACACTGTAGTCTCCATGAGGAAAGGATAAATATTCATTGCCCATGTGGAAAGGAGCTCCTCATGTAGTTGTTTCTAAGCAAAATCTCCTTCTTGTGTTCTGTTGACAGAAACCACTTGGAGCCAAGCCAAATCACCGAAAATGGAAGTAGTGGAACTACTTCCAAACCGTGCTGCTGCTTCTAAACCAAACTGCAGTGTAGGTGGGGACAGAGCAAGGGGACACAACCCAGCCAGGGCGAAATTGAAAGTCACCTGTCTGAGCCGCGGAAGGAAGTCAGCGCTTCCCAGTTTGAGACTGTTCCCTGACTGGTCCCACAGCAGCTGGAACGCTTCCGATTGCTGCTGATGGATTCCCATGGATCAGCCAGTGACACAAGCTGCCAGAGCGACTGAAGCGATCTGGAGTTACGCTTCTCCCCCTTCTGCGTTCAGATCCGTGAAAGAAGCAGAAGAGGGAGAAGAAGAGGGGAGAAGAGAAGAGAGGGGGAAAGAAAAGGACAAGAAGGGAGGGAAGGAGGGAAGGGGAGGGAAGGGAGGAAATGGGAGGGAAAGGGAGGGGAGGAATGGGAGGGGAGGGCAGGGCAGGGCAGGGGCATGTAGGGCATTGTAGGGGAGAGTAGGCTAGTGTAGGATAGTGTTGGGATAGTGTAGGATAGTGAGGGGAGTGTAGGGAGTAGGGTGAGGGGAGAGGTATGGAGGATAGGTAGGAGGGAGTGCAGGGGAGTGTAGTGTAGGGGGTTTGGGGAGTGTAGTGTAGGGGAATGTAGGGGAGGGGAGTTTAGGGGGTTAGGGGAGGGGAGTGTAGCGGAGGATAGTGTAGGAGGGGATTAGAGGAGGAAGTGTAGAGGAGAGAAGTGTAGAGGAGCATAGGGGAGTGGAGTGGAGTGTAGGGGAGTTTAGAGGAGAGAGGGGAGGGAGTTTAGGGAGGGGAGGAGAGTATAGGGGAGGGGAGGGAGAATAGGGGAGGAGGGAGTTTAGGGAGGGGAGTTTAGGGGAGGGAGTTTAGGGGAGTTTAGGGGAGGGAGTTTAGGGAGTTTAGGGGGGTTTAGGGGAGGGGAGTTTAGGGGAGTTTAGGGGAGTTTTGTGGAGGGAAGTTTAGGGGAGTTTAGGGGAGTTAGGGGAGGGAGTTTAGGGGAGGGGAGGGAGTTTAGGGGAGGGGTGTTTAGGGGAGGGAATTCAGGGGAGGGGAGGGGAGGGGAGGGAGGGGTGGGTATTGGTGGGAAGTAAGGAATGGGCCAGGGGGAATGGGAGGGGAGGGGAGTGCTACCCTAAATAAAATGGCCAAAGAAGTGGCCTTTTGGATCTGGAGCCAAATATGTATGTTGCCATTCATTCCACAACGCGATTCATCACTGCAATCTGCGTTTTGCACAGTGCCATTAAGGGTTTGGCATGCACAGAGGTGACTGAGTATTTTCAGAACTAACTTTCCTTCCTAACTGATTTGAGACTTTTGCTGGTGTTATAAATGGCTCAGTCTTGCAAATAGGGCAAGAATCAAAGTTTACCATGTATGAAAGGAACGCATTTCCCTTCAAGCTCTCTATTGACACGAATTGCTAAAACCTTCCTCACACTGGAATGCAAAAGATCAGGTGATTGGTTAACGTAGGGTTGGCAGCTGAGCAGGGGAAACATCTTCAAAACTTCCAAATATTTCCCCTATGCAGAACTCCAACTCCTTCTTCTCTGCTCTCTGCTTGTGAAAGTTTCTGTCACCTGCTCAGGAAGCAGAAGCAGTCAAATGGGATTTCGAGGGATCCAGCTACAGCATCAGTGCCAGTTAGAGGAAGCAATCAATTCCCAGGTAGTCCAGGCTTTGAAGAGAGTTTAAGCAGCTTTCCAAGGAACATGGCCAAGTGCAAAGCAACCAATTGATCTGACTGTCCAGTGAAAGAAAAGCAAGTGCAGAGCAGCAAATGCTTGAGAGAGGGAAACCTTTTTGAAGCACAGCCATTTGGGGCCGAGACCTGTTAATGTGCTAGGCAGTCCCAGGAAGCGTCAAAGTGTGAGCCGTGCTCTCCATCCAGCACTGGCGTCCTGCACTTTCTGGAGGTTCTTGATTCTGTAATCAGAATTCCAACAAGCTCCTCAACAGCATACAGATCCAAAACCCACAGACCCAGATCAAACAGCCTCCCATCTGGTTGTATCATTGTCAGGCATGCATTCTTTTCTAGTAACTGGTCCTTTCTTCCTTAGTTCAGATCAAACAAAACATAACAGAATCAGATGACTCTAAAACTCTCCAGACAGCTCTGGTGTTGCTGTAGGATGGAATACAATTGTTTTCCTTACAACCCCCCAGTTATTTCCATGTCTGTTCTGGACCTTGGGATCTCTTTTGGGAGCTACATTACGCAGAGAACTACAATAAGGCTGAGATCACCGCTGCCTCAATGTAATGCAAAGGTGAAGGCCTTTCTGACAGCCAGTTTGGAAATGAATGCAGCCCCATCTTGTCAGCATCAGAGCAGAGCCAGCTCCAGATGGCTCCAAAAAGGAGCTGCTGCTGGCCAGAGCCGAGGCAGGGAGTGCTGCTGGGTGGGCTTCGGGGGAGCAGATTTAAGGAAGGGGGGAAAATACTGCTGTGCAACAGCAGCTGGGAGAGAGGATTGTGAAAGCGTGAGAGAAGCAGCCCTGCAGCCCCCCAGGTGAGCGCCGCAGGAGGGCAGGAGGTGCTGCAGGCAGGCAGCAGCAGTTCCCCTGCGGGCTGTGCAGGGAGAGGCCCCTGGTGGAGCAGGCTGTCCCCCTGCAGCCCATGGGTCCCCCATGGAGCAGATCTCCACGCTGCAGCCCCCCCATGGGTGGAGGAGCCCCCGGTGGAGCAGGTGGCTGTGGCCTGGAGGAGGCTGCGGCCCATAGAGAGCCCCCGCAGGAGCAGGCCCCGGGCCGGAGCTGCAGCCCGTGGAGAGGAGCCCACGTGGAGCAGGGGCAGAGAGGGACCGAGAAGGAGTGGTGGAGATGAAGTGCTACAGACTGACCACAACCCCCAGTCCAGTCCCCCTGTTCCCCTGCGCTGCACGGGGGGAGGAGCTGGAAGAGCTCAGATGGGGGGAAGGAAGGTGTTTTTGGTTTCTTTCCTTTGGTTCTCACTTGTCTAGCCTGGTAGTAGTAGTAGTTAGGCAGGAAATCTTACTGTCTCCCTATGCTGCGTCTGCTTTGCCCATCACGATCCTTGTTGAGCGATCTCCCTGTCCTTGTCTCAACCCCTGAACCCTTTGCATCGTATTTTCTCTCCCTTTCTCTTTGAGGAGGGGGAGGGAGAGAGTGGCCGTGATGGAGCTCGGCTGCCCACCCACCGAAAAGCACTGCAGCTGCAAGGTACTGGAAAAGTTTTCAGAAGCAACAAGGTGTTTAACAAGGAAATGTATAGTTTCCTTTTTCAGGCTTCCTAAATAATTGGGCTTATTTCATATTCCCAACTCGGAGGAGGAGAATTGTTGATTTCACCTTCTTTTTTCTTCCTTGGAAATCAAAGGTGAACAGCTCTAAAAGGAAGGGGAACGTATCAGAAGCAAGCTTTTTTTGGCTTGTAATCCTTTCTTAAGGAAAAGATTTCTCACACACCTTCCCCAGATGTAGGGGGGCAGAGAATAATTTTGGAACTACTCCAATTAAAGTCAGCTTGGGGAGAGTGGGACTTCTCTACTTGTTTCTGAGACATTCGCATTAGCAAGAGAGAGTGTTGTGTTGCCGCTGCCAGGGGCCTACGGTGATGACTTCAGAAACAGAATTGAATGATGTCACTGTGACACCTTGGTAACAGCTGCCTCTGAGCAAGTTTAGCGAGGAGGGACAGAGAAGTGTGCTGGATGAAACCACGTGAGGACTTGTGGATCCCACGTTGAGGTGCATCGAGAGGGCCCACCCTTCTGTAAGTGTTTGGATGCTTCATTTTCGATTTCTGTAGTTTGTGTAAAGTCCTTTCACAAGCATGAAGTTTGGTACTTTGGCTCAGGGATGTAGCTGCACAGAGTGACAGGTGCAACATGTGGCTGAGGGCCTCTGCACGTTCTCTCTTTCCCACACACGATCAAGAAAGAAGGGTAGACAAATAAGAGTGTGCTGTGGTCCTGCCATAGACCTCAAGTACTACAGCATAAACAAGAGACTTAAAAGTAGCCCATCACATGAAACTTCAGGACAGCAATGCACTTCATCAGCTGGTCTGGCCTGTTGAGTGGAGTGTCTCAGGATGGAGTGTATGAAGATGCACTCCATCTACTTATCTGCTTTCAGATTAGCACTTGCAGTGAGCAAGCTGCCTGGCCTTAACATTTTTCATTCCATTTTTCACCCGACTTTTGCTGGTTCTTCTTGGTCTAGAAAAAAAAAAAAAAAAAAAAAAAAAAAAAAGTGAACTCAGATCAAAATAGAAGGATTTCCTTTTCATTAATTCCATGTTCTTAACTTGACAGGTTTGGTTATTGACGTAGAAGGGACATATCTGGCCTGACTGCAACACCCATGCTCGCAGTGTGGGACAGTTCTCATAAAGGTGATTCCGTGTAGTTTCTGGAAACGAAGACATCAGATGGCAAAGGTAATCTCCCAGATTTTTTTATTTTTCTTATTTTTTTTTGTGCTAATGCAGGAAAGGCAAGTAAGAGTAAAAGTAAGAGTCCAGATAGTGCAAGAAGCAGCAGCTGTGAAGGAAACTTCCTTCTGGCTGATATGGCTCCATATCTAGTTGTGGAGGTCATAGTGCAGGTGGAAGCATGTTCTCGTCCAAATACTTAGCTCTCTGTTTTCACAACAGGTCGAGCAGCAGAATGTCTTTGAAACAACTGTGCCTATGACCACGTTCATGCATCGTGCTAGACAAGGTAAAAGCTCTGGACAAGCAAAGGGGAGGGCTGGATGGGCATGCAATACGATCACTTCAATCTTCTCTCTCTAAGAAACCTTACTGAGAAAACAAAACAGAACAGAACAAATGAAACAAACAGCTAGCTTGCTGGAGACATTGTCTGGGAAACAGTGAAAACACTTGCAGACAAAAACATATCCAAGGACTAACACTTTGAGCTTCATTCTAAACCAACATCCTCAACTCCAACTCTTGTTTATGTTCATTACAGACTGGTAGAATAACATGTCACATTTGATGACTTTGCAGCATAGATGTCAGGAATGCAGCTTGGGATCACCTGCCTCTACTTAGAGTTCAGTCTGAAGGGATGAGCAAGTAATTGTTCCTGGGCTGATGGAAATCTCTTCTAAAGTCTGTTTTCTAACACTCTTCTAGATGCTTCTCTGTCCATCGCTCTGACCTGCCAACTCTGGTGCAAGTGTGCAGTTGTGGCAAGAGGGATTTCCTAGTCCTGATTTGACCTGGTGGACACCAACTTTCCTAGTCAATTGCCGATGTTGCTGAGGAGGCAGCAGTACCAAAGCCCTTGCTGATGAAGATAGAACAAGTCTGGGGAGGCTTTGGCATTTCTGCACAATGCTGCTTCCTGATTGTGACCCAAGACGCAGATTCTGAACTAGGCAAAGTAAGCTAGAGTAAGCTAGACTGCATGTCCTGGTCATTTTCTTTTCTTTATTTATTTTTCATTCGTCGCTTGTAAGAAAATCTAAATCTTTCAACCATTTGTTTGAAAACACAGTTTTATGGAAATGATTGTGGGTGTGCTCCTTAACCTTGTTTGGAACCTGTTTAACCTCGCTTCAGTTAGAGGAGACCTGTGCTCAAATTTATGCTTACCATGATCAAGTGGCATCCTTTTTCCTTTTGGTATTCTTGACTTTGGCGCTTGCAAGTGAGATTGAAAAGAGTTCTCAGGATGATTCTTCTTTTCCTTTGCAGTATCCCAAACTCCAGATTACATCTGATCTTCATCTCTGATCTGAAAAGCTTCACAGGCCAAAAGAGAATTGAGATGAGGAGTGAAATACAGAATGCTGGTGAATCTTTCCAGTTGCCACCCGTAAGTTTTGTGAGAGAAGCAGGTGCGTTGCTGTAGTGGTAGGAAGTCAATAAGATAACGATCATCCTTGAACGGCCTTGAACATCCTTGATCGTTAACGATCGCCCTGGAAGCGAGTAATGGTAGAAAGATGAAGAATGCAAGGCCCTGGTTAAAGACAGTCTTTAGGCTGCTTCTGGATCAGCAGTTTGTTTGGTTCTTGCACAGCCTCATCTCCACTTGCTTAGAAGCTGTGAAGATGGGAAGAACACTTGGTGTTTTTCATCCACTCTCAACCTCATCTCCATTTCCTCCAAAGCTGTGAATATTGGAAGTACACTTGGTTCTTCCAATGATGTGAAGAGCCAAGTGTCTTGGGTCTTCCATCAACTCAGAGATATCAAGAGAATAAGGTATTTGCTTGATGGGACAGTACTTAATGTAGGTATTTATGAAGTGAAGAAGAACGCTGAAACCAGCCAAAGCCCTATCAGACATGGTAAGGCCATGCTTCTGTTAGGAAGTAATTCAGAGTGCTTCCGTGGTGTACTTTGGACAGATGAACTCTGGTCCTCTGGACTAAGCACCCCCAAGGGACAATTCTCTGAAAAATCTCTCGGAATGATCTGTCCTTATCTCTTACACTGTAGTCTCCATGAGGAAAGGATAAATATTCATTGCCCATGTGGAAAGGAGCTCCTCATGTAGTTGTTTCTAAGCAAAATCTCCTTCTTGTGTTCTGTTGACAGAAACCACTTGGCGAGCCAAGCCAAATCACCGAAAATGGAAGTAGTGGAACTACTTCCAAACCGTGCTGCTGCTTCTAAACCAAACTGCAGTGTAGGTGGGGACAGAGCAAGGGGACACAACCCAGCCAGGGCGAAATTGAAAGTCACCTGTCTGAGCCGCGGAAGCAAGTCAGCGCTTCCCAGTTTGAGACTGTTCCCTGACTGGTCCCACAGCAGCTGGAACGCTTCCGATTGCTGCTGATGGATTCCCATGGATCAGCCAGTGACACAAGCTGCCAGAGCGACTGAAGCGATCTGGAGTTACGCTTCTCCCCCTTCTGCGTTCAGATCCGTGAAAGGAAGAGAAGAGGGGGAGAAGAAGAGGGGAGAAGAGAAGAGAGGGGGAAAGAAAAGGACAAGAAGGGAGGGAAGGGGAGGGAAGGGGAGGGAAGGGGAGGAAATGGGAGGGAAAGGGAGGGGAGGGAATGGGAGGGGAGGGCAGGGCAGGGCAGGGGCATGTAGGGCATTGTAGGGGAGAGTAGGCTAGTGTAGGATAGTGTTGGGATAGTGTAGGATAGTGAGGGGAGTGTAGGGGAGTGTAGGGGAGGGAGAGTAGGGGAGGATAGTGTAGGGAGGGGAGTGCAGGGGAGGGGAGTGCAGGGGAGATGAGCATAGAGGAGGGGAGTGCAGGGGAGTGTAGTGTAGGGGGGTTTGGGGGAGTGTAGTGTAGGGGAATGTAGGGGAGGGGAGTTTAGGGGAGTGTAAGGGGAGGGGAGTGTAGCGGAGGATAGTGTAGGGAGGGGAGTGTAGAGGAGGGAAGTGTAGAGGAGAGAAGTGTAGAGGAGCATAGGGGAGTGGAGTGGAGTGTAGGGGAGTTTAGAGGAGTGGAGGGGAGGGGAGTTTAGGGGAGGGGAGTTTAGGGGAGTTTAGGGGAGGGGAGGAGATTTTAGGGGAGGGGAGCGGAGTTTAGGGGAGTGGAGGGGAGTTTAGGGGAGCATAGGGGAGTTTAGGGGAGCATAGGGGAGTTTAGGGGAGCATAGGGGAGGGAGTGTAGGGGGGGAGTGTAGAGGAGGGAAGTGTAGAGGAGCATAGGGGAGTGGAGTGGAGTGTAGGGGAGTTTAGAGGAGTAGAGGGGAGGGGAGTTTAGGGGAGGGGAGGAGAGTAGGAGGGGGAGGGGAGAATAGGGAGGGGAGGGGAGGGGAGTTTAGGGGAGGGGAGTTTAGGGGAGGGGAGTTTAGGGGAGGGGAGTTTAGGGGAGTTTAGGGGAGTTTGTGGAGGGAGTTTAGGGGAGTTTAGGGGAGTTTAGGGGAGGGGAGTTTAGGGGAGGGGAGGGGAGTTTAGGGGAGGGGTGTTTAGGGGAGGGGAATTCAGGGGAGGGGAGGGAGGGGAGGGAGGGGGGGGGGGGGTGGGTATTGGTGGGAAGTAAGGAATGGGCCAGGGAGGGAATGGGAGGGGAGGGGAGTGCTACCCTAAATAAAATGGCCAAAGAAGTGGCCTTTTGGATCTGGAGCCAAATATGTATGTTGCCATTCATTCCACAACGCGATTCATCACTGCAATCTGCGTTTTGCACAGTGCCATTAAGGGTTTGGCATGCACAGAGGTGACTGAGTATTTTCAGAACTAACTTTCCTTCCTAACTGATTTGAGACTTTTGCTGGTGTTATAAATGGCTCAGTCTTGCAAATAGGGCAAGAATCAAAGTTTACCATGTATGAAAGGAACGCATTTCCCTCCAAGCTCTCTATTGACACGAATTGCTAAAACCTTCCTCACACTGGAATGCAAAAGATCAGGTGATTGGTTAACGTAGGGTTGGCAGCTGAGCAGGGGAAACATCTTCAAAACTTCCAAATATTTCCCCTATGCAGAACTCCAACTCCTTCTTCTCTGCTCTCTGCTTGTGAAAGTTTCTGTCACCTGCTCAGAAGCAGAAGCAGTCAAATGGGATTTCGAGGGATCCAGCTACAGCATCAGTGCCAGTTAGAGGAAGCAATCAATTCCCAGGTAGTCCAGGCTTTGAAGAGAGTTTAAGCAGCTTTCCAAGGAACATGGCCAAGTGCAAAGCAACCAATTGATCTGACTGTCCAGTGAAAGAAAAGCAAGTGCAGAGCAGCAAATGCTTGAGAGAGGGAAACCTTTTTGAAGCACAGCCATTTGGGGCCGAGACCTGTTAATGTGCTAGGCAGTCCCAGGAAGCGTCAAAGTGTGAGCCGTGCTCTCCATCCAGCACTGGCGTCCTGCACTTTCTGGAGGTTCTTGATTCTGTAATCAGAATTCCAACAAGCTCCTCAACAGCATACAGATCCAAAACCCACAGACCCAGATCAAACAGCCTCCCATCTGGTTGTATCATTGTCAGGCATGCATTCTTTTCTAGTAACTGGTCCTTTCTTCCTTAGTTCAGATCAAACACAAATAACAAAATTCAGATGACTCCTAAACCTCTCCAGACAGCTCTGGTGTTGCTGTAGGATGGAATACAATTGTTTCCTTACAACCCCCAGTTATTTCCATGTCTTGTTCTGGACCTTGGGATCTCTTTTGGAGCTACATTAAGCAGAGAAACTACAATAAGGCTGAGATCACCGCTGCTCAATGTAATGCAAAGGTGAAGGCTTTCTGACAGCCAGTTTGGAAATGAATGCAGCCCCATCTTGTCAGCATCAGAGCAGAGCCAGCTCCAGATGGCTCCAAAAAGGAGCTGCTGCTGGCCAGAGCCGAGGCAGGGGAGTGCTGCTGGGTGGGCTTCGGGGGAGCAGATTTAAGGAAGGGGGGGAAAATACTGCTGTGCAACAGCAGCTGGGAGAGAGAGGATTGTGAAAGCGTGAGAGAAGCAGCCCTGCAGCCCCCCAGGTGAGCGCCGCAGGAGGGCAGGAGGTGCTGCAGGCAGGCAGCAGCAGTTCCCCTGCGGGCTGTGCAGGGAGAGGCCCCTGGTGGAGCAGGCTGTCCCCCTGCAGCCCATGGGTCCCCCATGGAGCAGATCTCCACGCTGCAGCCCCCCCATGGGTGGAGGAGCCCCCGGTGGAGCAGGTGGCTGTGGCCTGGAGGAGGCTGCGGCCCATGGAGAGCCCCCGCAGGAGCAGGCCCCGGGCCGGAGCTGCAGCCGTGGAGAGGAGCCCACGTGGAGCAGGGGCAGAGAGGGACCGAGAAGGAGTGGTGGAGATGAAGTGCTACAGACTGACCACAACCCCCAGTCCAGTCCCCCTGTTCCCCTGCGCTGCACGGGGGGAGGAGCTGGAAGAGCTCAGATGGGGGGAAGGAAGGTGTTTTTGGTTTCTTTCCTTTGGTTCTCACTTGTCTAGCCTGGTAGTAGTAGTAGTTAGGCAGGAAATCTTACTGTCTCCCTATGCTGCGTCTGCTTTGCCCATCACGATCCTTGTTGAGCGATCTCCCTGTCCTTGTCTCAACCCCTGAAACCCTTTGCATCGTATTTTCTCTCCCTTTCTCTTTGAGGAGGGGGAGGGAGAGAGTGGCCGTGATGGAGCTCGGCTGCCCACCCACCGAAAAGCACTGCAGCTGCAAGGTACTGGAAAAGTTTTCAGAAGCAACAAGGTGTTTAACAAGGAAATGTATAGTTTCCTTTTTCAGGCTTCCTAAATAATTGGGCTTATTTCATATTCCCAACTCGGAGGAGGAGAATTGTTTGATTTCACCTTCTTTTTTCTTCCTTGGAAATCAAAGGTGAACAGCTCTAAAGGAAGGGGAACGTATCAGAAGCAAGCTTTTTTTGGCTTGTAATCCTTTCTTAAGGAAAAGATTTCTCACACACCTTCCCCAGATGTAGGGGGGCAGAGAATAATTTTGGAACTACTCCAATTAAAGTCAGCTTGGGGAGAGTGGGACTTCTCTACTTGTTTCTGAGACATTCGCATTAGCAAGAGAGAGTGTTGTGTTGCCGCTGCCAGGGGCCTACGGTGATGACTTCAGAAACAGAATTGAATGATGTCACTGTGACACCTTGGTAACAGCTGCCTCTGAGCAAGTTTAGCGAGGAGGGACAGAGAAGTGTGCTGGATGAACCACGTGAGGACTTGTGGATCCCACGTTGAGGTGCATCGAGAGGGCCCACCCTTCTGTAAGTGTTTGGATGCTTCATTTTCGATTTCTGTAGTTTGTGTAAAGTCCTTTCACAAGCATGAAGTTTGGTACTTTGGCTCAGGGATGTAGCTGCACAGAGTGACAGGTGCAACATGTGGCTGAGGGCCTCTGCACGTTCTCTCTTTCCCACACACGATCAAGAAAGAAGGGTAGACAAATAAGAGTGTGCTGTGTCCTGCCATAGACCTCAAGTACTACAGCATAAACAAGAGACTTAAAAGTAGCCCATCACATGAACTCAGGACAGCAATGCACTTCATCAGCTGGTCTGGCCTGTTGAGTGGAGTGTCTCAGGATGGAGTGTATGAAGATGCACTCCATCTACTTATCTGCTTTCAGATTAGCACTTGCAGTGAGCAAGCTGCCTGGCCTTAACATTTTTCATTCATTTTTCACCCGACTTTGCTGGTTCTTCTTGGTCTAGAAAAAAAAAAAAAAAAAAAAAAAAAAAAAAAAAAAAAAAAGTGAACTCAGATCAAAATAGAAGGATTTCCTTTTCATTAATTCCATGTTCTTAACTTGACAGGTTTGGTTATTGACGTAGAAGGGACATATCTGGCCTGACTGCAACACCCATGCTCGCAGTGTGGGACAGTTCTCATAAAGGTGATTCCGTGTAGTTTCTGGAAACGAAGACATCAGATGGCAAAGGTAATCTCCCAGATTTTATTTATATTTATTCTTATTATTTATTTATTGTGCTAATGCAGGAAAGGCAAGTAAGAGTAAAAGTAAGAGTCCAGATAGTGCAAGAAGCAGCAGCTGTGAAGGAAACTTCCTTCTGGCTGATATGGCTCCATATCTAGTTGTGGGAGGTCATAGTGCAGGTGGAAGCATGTTCTCGTCCAAATACTTAGCTCTCTGTTTTCACAACAGGTCGAGCAGCAGAATGTCTTTGAAACAACTGTGCTATGACCACGTTCATGCATCGTGCTAGACAAGGTAAAAGCTCTGGGACAGCAAAGGGGAGGGCTGGATGGGCATGCAATACAATCACTTCAATCTTTCTCTCGTCTAAGAAACCTTACTGAGAAACAAAACAGAACAGAACAAATGAAACAAACAGCTAGCTTGCTGGAGACATTGTCTGGGAAACAGTGAAAACACTTGCAGACAAAAACATATCCAAGGACTAACACTTTGAGCTTCATTCTAAACCAACATCCTCAACTCCAACTCTTGTTTATGTTCATTACAGACTGGTAGAATAACATGTCACATTTGATGACTTTGCAGCATAGATGTCAGGAATGCAGCTTGGGATCACCTGCCTCTACTTAGAGTTCAGTCTGAAGGGATGAGCAAGTAATTGTTCCTGGGCTGATGGAAATCTCTTCTAAAGTCTGTTTTCTAACACTCTTCTAGATGCTTCTCTGTCCATCGCTCTGACCTGCCAACTCTGGTGCAAGTGTGCAGTTGTGGCAAGAGGGATTTCCTAGTCCTGATTTGACCTGGTGGACACCAACTTTCCTAGTCAATTGCCGATGTTGCTGAGGAGGCAGCAGTACCAAAGCCCTTGCTGATGAAGATAGAACAAGTCTGGGGAGGCTTTGGCATTTCTGCACAATGCTGCTTCCTGATTGTGACCCAAGACGCAGATTCTGAACTAGGCAAAGTAAGCTAGAGTAAGCTAGACTGCATGTCCTGGTCATTTTCTTTTCTTTATTTATTTTTCATTCGTCGCTTGTAAGAAAATCTAAATCTTTCAACCATTTGTTTGAAAACACAGTTTTATGGAAATGATTGTGGGTGTGCTCCTTAACCTTGTTTGGAACCTGTTTAACCTCGCTTCAGTTAGAGGAGACCTGTGCTCAAATTTATGCTTACCATGATCAAGTGGCATCCTTTTTCCTTTTGGTATTCTTGACTTTGGCGCTTGCAAGTGAGATTGAAAAGAGTTCTCAGGATGATTCTTCTTTTCCTTTGCAGTATCCCAAACTCCAGATTACATCTGATCTTCATCTCTGATCTGAAAAGCTTCGCAGGCCAAAAGAGAATTGAGATGAGGAGTGAAATACAGAATGCTGGTGAATCTTTCCAGTTGCCACCCGTAAGTTTTGTGAGAGAAGCAGGTGCGTTGCTGTAGTGGTAGGAAGTCAATAAGATAACGATCATGCCCTTGAAGGCGAGTAATGGTAGAAAGATGAAGAATGCAAGGCCCTGGTTAAAGACAGTCTTTAGGCTGCTTCTGGATCAGCAGTTTGTTTGGTTCTTGCACAGCCTCATCTCCACTTGCTTAGAAGCTGTGAAGATGGGAAGAACACTTGGTGTTTTTCATCCACTCTCAACCTCATCTCCATTTCCTCCGAAGCTGTGAATATTGGAAGTACACTTGGTTCTTCCAATGATGTGAAGAGCCAAGTGTCTTGGGTCTTCCATCAACTCAGAGATATCAAGAGAATAAGGTATTTGCTTGATGGGACAGTACTTAATGTAGGTATTTATGAAGTGAAGAAGAACGCTGAAACCAGCCAAAGCCCTATCAGACATGGTAAGGCCATGCTTCTGTTAGGAAGTAATTCAGAGTGCTTCCATGGTGTACTTTGGACAGATGAACTCTGGTCCTCTGGACTAAGCACCCCCAAGGGACAATTCTCTGAAAAATCTCTCGGAATGATCTGTCCTTATCTCTTACACTGTAGTCTCCATGAGGAAAGGATAAATATTCATTGCCCATGTGGAAAGGAGCTCCTCATGTAGTTGTTTCTAAGCAAAATCTCCTTCTTGTGTTCTGTTGACAGAAACCACTTGGCGAGCCAAGCCAAATCACCGAAAATGGAAGTAGTGGAACTACTTCCAAACCGTGCTGCTGCTTCTAAACCAAACTGCAGTGTAGGTGGGGACAGAGCAAGGGACACAACCCAGCCAGGGCGAAATTGAAAGTCACCTGTCTGAGCCGCGGAAGGAAGTCAGCGCTTCCCAGTTTGAGACTGTTCCCTGACTGGTCCCACAGCAGCTGGAACGCTTCCGATTGCTGCTGATGGATTCCCATGGATCAGCCAGTGACACAAGCTGCCAGAGCGACTGAAGCGATCTGGAGTTACGCTTCTCCCCTTCTGCGTTCAGATCCGTGAAAGGAAGAAGAGAGAGGGGAGAGAGAAGAGGGGAGGGAAGAAGAAGAAGGGGAAGAAGAGAGGGGAAAGAAAAGGAAGAGGGAGGGAAGGGGAGGAAGGGGAGGGAAGAAGGGGGGAGGAAAGGGAGGGAATGGGAGGGGAGGGCAGGGCAGGGCAGGGGCATGTAGGGCATTGTAGGGGAGAGTAGGCTAGTGTAGGATAGTGTTGGGATAGTGTAGGATAGTGAGGGGAGTGTAGGGGAGTGTAGGGGAGGGGAGTAGGGGAGGATAGTGTAGGGAGGGGAGTGAGGGGAGGGGAGTGCAGGGGAGATGAGCATAGAGGAGGGGAGTGCAGGGGAGTGTAGTGTAGGGGGGTTTGGGGGAGTGTAGTGTAGGGGAATGTAGGGGAGGGGAGAGTTTAGGGGAGTGTAGGGGAGGGGAGTGTAGCGGAGGATAGTGTAGGGGGGGAGTGTAGAGGAGGGAAGTGTAGAGGAGCATAGGGGAGTGGAGTGGAGTGTAGGGGAGTTTAGAGGAGTGGAGGGGAGGGGAGTTTAGGGGAGGGGAGTTTAGGGGAGTTTAGGGGAGGGGAGGGAGTTAGGGGAGGGAGGGGAGGGGAGTTTAGGGGAGGAGGGGAGTTTAGGGGAGGGGAGGTTTAGGGGAGTTTAGGGGAGTTTAGGGGAGTTTAGGGGAGGGAGTTTAGGGGGTTTAGGGGAGGGGAGTTTAGGGGAGTTAGGGAGTTTGGGAGGGAGTTTAGGGAGTTTAGGGGAGTTTAGGGGAGGGGGTTTAGGGGAGGGGAGGGAGTTTAGGGGAGGGGTGTTTAGGGGAGGGGAATTCAGGGGAGGGGAGGGGAGGGGAGGGAGGGGTGGGTATTGGTGGGAAGTAAGGAATGGGCCAGGGAGGGAATGGGAGGGGAGGGGAGTGCTACCCTAAATAAAATGGCCAAAGAAGTGGCCTTTTGGATCTGGAGCCAAATATGTATGTTGCCATTCATTCCACAACGCGATTCATCACTGCAATCTGCGTTTTGCACAGTGCCATTAAGGGTTTGGCATGCACAGAGGTGACTGAGTATTTTCAGAACTAACTTTCCTTCCTAACTGATTTGAGACTTTTGCTGGTGTTATAAATGGCTCAGTCTTGCAAATAGGGCAAGAATCAAAGTTTACCATGTATGAAAGGAACGCATTTCCCTTCAAGCTCTCTATTGACACGAATTGCTAAAACCTTCCTCACACTGGAATGCAAAAGATCAGGTGATTGGTTAACGTAGGGTTGGCAGCTGAGCAGGGGAAACATCTTCAAAACTTCCAAATATTTCCCCTATGCAGAACTCCAACTCCTTCTTCTCTGCTCTCTGCTTGTGAAAGTTTCTGTCACCTGCTCAGGAAGCAGAAGCAGTCAAATGGGATTTCGAGGGATCCAGCTACAGCATCAGTGCCAGTTAGAGGAAGCAATCAATTCCCAGGTAGTCCAGGCTTTGAAGAGAGTTTAAGCAGCTTTCCAAGGAACATGGCCAAGTGCAAAGCAACCAATTGATCTGACTGTCCAGTGAAAGAAAAGCAAGTGCAGAGCAGCAAATGCTTGAGAGAGGGAAACCTTTTTGAAGCACAGCCATTTGGGGCCGAGACCTGTTAATGTGCAGGCAGTCCCAGGAAGCGTCAAAGTGTGAGCCGTGCTCTCCATCCAGCACTGGCGTCCTGCACTTTCTGGAGGTTCTTGATTCTGTAATCAGAATTCCAACAAGCTCCTCAACAGCATACAGATCCAAAACCCACAGACCCAGATCAAACAGCCTCCCATCTGGTTGTATCATTGTCAGGCATGCATTCTTTTCTAGTAACTGGTCCTTTCTTCCTTAGTTCAGATCAAACACAAATAACAAAATTCAGATGACTCCTAAACTCTCCAGACAGCTCTGGTGTTGCTGTAGGATGGAATACAATTGTTTTCCTTACAACCCCCCAGTTATTTCCATGTCTGTTCTGGACCTTGGGATCTCTTTTGGGAGCTACATTACGCAGAGAACTACAATAAGGCTGAGATCACCGCTGCCTCAATGTAATGCAAAGGTGAAGGCCTTTCTGACAGCCAGTTTGGAAATGAATGCAGCCCCATCTTGTCAGCATCAGAGCAGAGCCAGCTCCAGATGGCTCCAAAAAGGAGCTGCTGCTGGCCAGAGCCGAGGCAGGGAGTGCTGCTGGGTGGGCTTCGGGGGAGCAGATTTAAGGAAGGGGGGAGAATACTGCTGTGCAACAGCAGCTGGGAGAGAGGATTGTGAAAGCGTGAGAGAAGCAGCCCTGCAGCCCCCCAGGTGAGCGCCGCAGGAGGGCAGGAGGTGCTGCAGGCAGGCAGCAGCAGTTCCCCTGCGGGCTGTGCAGGGAGAGGCCCCTGGTGGAGCAGGCTGTCCCCCTGCAGCCCATGGTCCCCCATGGAGCAGATCTCCACGCTGCAGCCCCCCATGGGTGGAGGAGCCCCCGGTGGAGCAGGTGGCTGTGGCCTGGAGGAGGCTGCGGCC